TTTTAGTATGTGTTCTATTTGAACTCAAAAAGTTTTTACGCATGTATTAGTTAATAAGATTTGGATATATGTTGATTTTAGTTAGCGACTTGATATATACAAATATCTAAATTTAAAAATAAATAATTTTATGATATATATGGTAAAATCTAATTGAATTTTTAGAGGTGCAAAAAGTTACCTCCACTTATGAGTTTTCGAAGTAGCAAATACAAGCTCGGAGTCTTAAGGTTAATAAATAGATTGTGTAGTTAGGCATCTCCAATGGTAAACCAAACCCTACACCAAACCTATTTTTGGTGCAAATTCATCTCCAACCCAACACTATTTTCAACACCAAAATGGTGTAAACTCATTTTTTACACCAAATTTGGTGTAGAAAATAGATTTACACGATTTTGGTGTTGAACTTTTTTATTTATAAAAAGGTCCTTTAAATTTCAATCAATTTTAAAATTAATGAAAAATATATACAAATTGTGATGGTTAAACCCAAAATCTAATATGTTTGATAATAATTAAACAAAAACTTAATATATTTTGTTATTTTATATGTTATAATGTATTTATTTTATATAATAAATGTTAAATTTAATTTATTTCATAATTTTTTAAACTTAAAAAAATAAATGAGGTTGATTTGTAAATTTTAAAAAATTGAAAAAGAGAATCTACTAAGAATATTCTATTTTGATGTAAAAATTGGTGTAAACCATTAGAACAAAATCCAACACCATTTTGGTGTTACCTCATTTTTGATGTAAAAAATGGTATAAACCATTGGAGATGCTGTTAGAAACTATGTATGAGACTATGAGTGGCTAAGAAAATTATTAGGACCAAAACTCTTTTAACAACGCTGTAATTGTGGCCAATCCAGAGAGTGATCGGAATCTTAATCAGGTGAATAATTAGATTGCATACTTTTTAACAAGGCTTTGTGACTAAATCATCCAGAGAGACACATGAACAAAAAGTAGGTATGCTTTATTCTAACAGAGACCACACAAAGGTTTTAAAAAGAGAAGAAAAACAATACTAAAGCTTATATCATCAGATAAGGAACGAGCAATTTGGTCTTGACGTTTTCAACCCAAAGGACACACCATGTTCCTGCTCAAAACCAAAAGCCACAATAACATCAGCAATCCATAAAGAGAGTTCACAGCCAAATGAAAAAAAAAAAAATCGAAAGCAGCAATCAAAAGCAGATAGATTAGTACCTTTTCAACTCACGCTAGGATGTTCTTGTCGGAAGTGAATCAAACCCTAAATGTTAATTGACTATTGTCCATATTGCATTTGCTGGGGTGAGTAATAACTAAGTAGCTTCTTGAACAGAGGAACAAGCGCAACCATAGCAAGTTGGAGTTGTTCAGAGCTGTTTACGCGGATGCTTACTTGCCCTGTTCCTTTGTTGTTCAGATTAGCACGAGCGATTAGATTAGAGGAACGTCCAATGGGCACTTGGGACTGTATATTCCCTCCGATCGCAAGATCGCCATGCCAATCCATCACAGAAAGTCCAAGAGTTGACAAACACCGACCAAGCGGATAATCTTTATCTCTCAACTGAGCTTCTAAACTACCACCATAAGCAACATCTCCCCGACTAGTCATTGCCCCACCAGACATAACCATTCTGAACCGTTTATTAGCCATCAACTTATCTTCGACTTTCAACCCCGCAGACACTGAATCACCCAAGAGCGTCACAGAGAGACCAGCTGCAGCTTTGTTTTTCCTAAAACTGTTAAATCTAGTTTCACTTCGAACAGTGTAACCCATTTCCTTTCCAACATTTTGCATGTCAAAACCTAAGGAGGTTGATCTACCCTCTCCATGTTTAATCGAGCTGGCCATTTCCAGCTGCACATTAGCATCCTTCTTGTCCTTTGTCACTTGACCCGAGAAAGATATCGGTATACTTTCGTTGACAACAAAAAGTCGTTCCGCATTGACTCCTTCATAACCAACGTCATGATCCCACCCATGAGTTTCCAAGACTGGCCTAACAAGCCATTGATTGGAGGAATCAAGGGACCGGTAGCGGTGAGTAGGGTTGTCAGAGTCAAATGATGCAGGTAGAGATAAATCTGGCATGGAAACCGGAACAGATGCAGGTTCACTTCTCTCTTCTTCCACATTTTCACTATACCCGTTAGGCAAATCTTTAATCTCCGCAGCAAATTTCTTCATCATCTTACGTCTCTTTCTCTCCTCTTTCATTTGCCTCTTCATAAATAATTTTGAACGGTACTCCATCTCATCGAGATATTGCTTCTTCTGGGATTTACTTAGCTTAGCCATCTCAGCTTTAGTCAACCGCTTAAATGGAGGAAGCTGATCATACTCTGATTCTTCGTCAGAATCTGATGATTCGTCTAAATCATCTTCATCTTCTTCATCACCATACTGCTGTTCAGGGAGCTTAGCTTGTGGTCTTGATTGCAGAAGAGATGAGAGGAGAAATGGCAATGGCGGAGCCTTGGACCGAGCTGCTAATGGTCTCCCTGGAGTATGATCTTGTAATTTCAGAAGAGCATTTGCTTCTGCTAGAATCTTGGATGCAAATGAGAGTAACAGCAAATGAGGCTTCCACACTTGGCCATTCGGTAATACTCTCTGACCTGCCCGATTTGTCCTGCAAGCAGAGTGGTTTTCAACTAAAGAAACAGGGTTCATGAGCCTCATATCTCCAGCTGCTTGGCGAATGACATTCTGAATTACATGAGAACGTTGTGTTACAAACATTTCATAGCTTAACGCGGTACCATTTGGGCCATCTGGTGGAGCAGAAGCGGCATGAGTCAAACCCACAATGGCATTAAACCATATTGACGGTCCAAAAACTTCAGTGATGGTGCACAGAAGAGGCATGTCACCAGAATCTCTGCTTTGCATATCCAACCTATCAAGATATAATACAATGTCAGGTGGATTTTTCTTGATGAAAGCCCTAACAGACTTCAGGATCTTCACATTCTTGTGTTGATCAGACAAGGATGGTAAGAGGCCGGGAGTGTCAATCACCCGTACCTTAATTCCCTGAACAAAACCCTCAACATCCTGAACTCTCTTTGTCCCCATCTGGAATGCATCAGTACAAATTTTCACTTCATCAAAAATAGAATTGATCGTTGCACTTTTACCAACCCCACTTTTACCGAGCACCATAATCGTACAAGAAAAGTCAAGTGGATCCTGTCCACCTGCCTCAAGCTGTTCTGCCATGGCACTGGCACGATCAAAACTAAAGGCACCAACACGGCTTCCATTTCTGCCCCTCAACTGTTCAGCCAATCCAAGCCTGTACAAAACCTGAGCAACAACAACATTATGTGGAGTTTGCCCTAATCGATGTGCAAGCCTCAAAAATTTAACCCTGATCAACTGAAGCTTCTCACGGGTCTCATCATGCTCATCGGTCTCTGCAGAGGTAGAGTCCTCAGCTTGCTGGGGTTGATTGTGAGACACATTGCCATTGACACGATGCTGTTGAGAAACACGTGGTGCCGGTTCCAGAAGGGGAGCAGCACGACCAAGACCTGCTGGGCGAGCGGGTGGTAATGCTGCAGTATTACTTCTAGACTCTGTTGGTGAAACAGAACTTACTACCTCAAATTCTCTTTCCACATGCGGGCTTTCCGTAATCTCTGGTTCTATATCCACTCTGCTGCCTAGCTGATTCTCAAGTTCCTTATTAGGTTGAAGACTCTGTTGAACATCATGTCCTCCATTACTATTTTGAACTGTCCCATGTTCTCTAGAAGTTACCCCAGGGAAGCCACTACTGCTATGACCTACAGTCTCTCCTTTTTCCTCAGTACTAGATTTCTCCAATGGAGATGAGGTCCCAGCACCTGCTACTTCAATGCTATCATCCAAGGACTTGTCACCTGAAGCACTTTTCACACTGCTAAAGACGGCACTAGTCTCACCGTTTTTTTGTGCCCCTGACTCATTGTCTGTACACACCAAACCCTTCTCAGAGCAATTCTTAGTTGTTCCTTTACCTTCCCCAACCTCTTGTTCTGTTCCAATGCCAGCTGATACATGAACGTTTTCCTCTGTTTCCTTGGACCAGGCACTTACTGAGACACCTTCCGGCACTAGTTCTTTATTCTCAAGAGAGACGATTCCATTTTCCGAAAAAGAATGTATATTTCCGTTTTCCATATTCACATCCTCGGCCGCTAAACTGGAACCATTGGAAGTTGTTTTCTCACTGTTTTCAACCGCACCCGAGCTTGATTCAGTTTGACCATACGAAATATCTGCACCTGCTTCCCCCTTACCATCATTCATTTTGGGAGTAACAAAATCAGGCTCAGCCTCTTTGGTAGTTATATCATGCACGTTGACCTCACCATGGCTCTCACCAACCACCGAATAATCAACCTTCAAATCTTTTAATCCCCTCTCATCACTACTTGTTTCTTCCAGATCAACCACTTCATGCTCAGCCTTGGAATTCTCAGGAGTTGCCTCTAATGGTAAATCCTCGGTTTCGAACGATTCGGTTTTCGGTACCTCCTGAGAACCAATTGCTTCTTCAAAGACCTCTTCTTCGATATCCCTAACGTCAACAGATCCCACCAACTCCTTCTTCTCTACTTGCTCATCGCTAATTCTATCCACTACAAGCTTCTTCTCTTCCCCATGTGACATGTCCATAATCTCAGCTCCATCTCCCATTTTTAGATCACCGAACCCCCAAAATCATTAAAAAAACTAAATCACTGCACAAAACAAAATAAAATCACGCTTTAACTCTTGATATAAATTCCAACAACCATAAACAACAAATCCTAGCTCAAAATTATCGCTACAAATCCTAGAATCATCGTGGTCTCTTATCAATCCCAGACACGAAGTTCAATATATCGCCAAATCGCAGGTATATAGAAATTCCAAATATACAAGAAGAAATTATTGAAAATGAAACCCAAAACACACAGAAGAGAGGAGAGGACATCAATGGCGGAAATCTTACCTGGTTAGTAGTGTGAGAGAGAGAGAGAAGGCAAACAAATATTTCATGAGCTTTATTGTTTTTTCACCTGCGAGGCTGCGACAGTGCGACTACGACGGGAAGAAGAGAGATAAGAGACTTTGATCGACGGTTGATTTTGTTTCTGGGTTTAATCATCCGACGGTGGAAAATGGCTCTCTTTTATGTCACGTGACAAACGTAAGGTGGGCCAAGGCCTTTTAGTTGGGCTGCAGTATCTTGTTGGCCTTTTGTTTCTTTGGAGCTATTTGCCTGTCTTCCTATTGTTTGTCAGTAGAAGCTTAAGCAAGATCCTGTGATTTTGTAGTATGGCTCATTAAGATTTGGTTAAATTCTTTTTCAATTGAGAATAGAGTTTGATTCACTTTGATTGTATATTTGTATCCAGCTTTTTGGGAGGATATAGATAAAGAAACCACAAAAGGATATATAATTTATATAATAACGTTAGGAAATATATTCCCAAATTCACAAACACGAAAGACATTTCTGTCATTCTATGTAATAAGAAGAGATCACCACTTTTTTTTCTGAAACTGAAACTTCACTCTCTTCTTCATCCATTTGCGTCCCCAGCAACATTCACACATGACAACACCACACAAACGTCGGTTTTTGGTTTCCTTTCTTCAACCAACCTACCGAGGAACTCTCTTACGGCTTAGTATTTCTTGTTCCTTAAGACGGTGTTGGAACCGAGCAAGACGGGCTTGGAGACTGACAAGCCCGGCTGCTTTCCGAGACAACACAAAGCTCAGTTGTGTCACATAGTTTTCTATCATGCTTCCTGGTTGGTCTACCTCCGCTAGAAGTTTCATTTCC